GGGTGCCATCCATAATTTCTTTTGCGTTAAAAAGTACTGGAAATGGATCATCGGAAGATCATCGGTCCAGACCACTGATGCAACAAACACCTGGAGTTAGACGGCCTCCGCGTAGTAGCTCAACTCCAGTATTCCGTCAGGCAGATGTACCAGTTCCCACTCTTACTAAAATCCAGATTTCGTCTTCTTCTTCAGAAATCCAGAAAGGCCTTGAAAAAGCTGCGCAGCTGGAGTTTGAAAGGATTAATTCGTTTTGCAGGTTCTAACCTTAACTTTTATGTCTCATTAAACTGTAGTAAATGAGATGAAAAATGAGATGTGTGATCCACTAATTTTTGGAAACTGATTGGTTTGCAAGGCTTAGATTGAAGAATAATAAATTAAGCCATATTTTAGAAGGAGTGGAATCCCTTTTATGGATGACAGTTTCCCTCAGTCTTTACGATCTCTGGGTGATCTTTCCTCTGACGGTGCTTCAAATGCAATGCCGTGCAGAGTTAACGCAAAAGATCTCGTTTGGTTACGACCGCAGAGTATGAATACCAAAGATGGAGCTCATTTTTGTTGGAGTGTTTTTCTCGATCCAAAACCAACCGATATTGAACAAGGTCCGCAATTCGGAACATTAGGATATATTTGATTTAGCTGTGATTTAGGTCGTCCTCATTTTTTAGGGAGTTCTGCAATTGATTATAGGGTAAAAAATTTTCAGGTGCTCTGGGTAACTGTTGGTTTCTTTCCGCATTAGCTGTGATTGCTGAGCGTCCAGATATACTTGACCAAATAGTCCTCACCAAACAGTATAACCACTTTGGCGTTTATCAGATTCGGTATCGCCATTAATATTTTAGAAGGAAATCCGAAGCGTTTTTGTTTGTTTGCTCTGTCTAAAGTGTTAATCGCTTATTCGACTTCTGTTTTTGATTATTCGTATAAGAGTGCAGCGTTTTGTAGTTTATGCGTCGATGGATTATGGCAAGTTGTCGTCACCGATGATTTTTTCCCGTGCAGAAAGCATTCAAAAATGCTTGCATTTGCTGTTGGTAGACGGAATCAGGTGAATGGCGGCAACGTCGCTGTATTTCTTATTTGGTGATTTCATGTGACCTGCTATCTCTTAGTCGAAATTTTCGAATGTACCTGTAATACTGTGGTATTTTAGTTATGGGTACCTCTGATAGAAAAAGCTTTCGCAAAAACGGTCGGAAGTTATGCAAAATTGCTTGCTGGAAGGACACTGGAAGCATTTGCGGTACTAACAGGTTCACCTTGTTTACTTGTCGATTTGGAAGAGGCTACTGATGCCGATGCGCGGAATGTCATATGGGCAAAACTTTTAAGTATGAGGTAGCAGTCTGTTTTTTTTTTTTTTTTTTTT